GGGGGGGGGGGGGGGATGTATGCTTACTCCAGTTTATGTACACACAAATTCCTTCTTTAAAAAAAAATCTACCTCAGTGGGATAATAATACAAATTCCAATCTGTATCTCACTGCTTTCTCACATTAATCAGGGTGTTCTTCAGCCTTCTTAGCATGGTATAGGTTTGCTTTCTTCTCAGTGGCTTCATTGCTTGTCATTATATGGATGGATCAGATTTCTCTCTCTCTCTCTCTCTCTTTTTACTTTTGTTTTTATTTGCTAGAGGGTATCTGTACTTGCCAGAGAGAGGTGGAGAGACAGAGACAGAGAAAGAGAGAAAGCAGTGGTGACATCGCAATCTCCTCTCCACTTTTCCAGCCCATTAGGATTTGGGGAACATACGCACATGCTCCCAACATGTTCACCAAGTCTCCAGGGCTGAGATTTGAACTTCACAGATGACTCTGTGGGATCTGAGTCCTTTAACCACTAGCCTATGACACTGGCCCCAGAATATTCTTAAACAGTCCCATATCCATGGCCTTTTATGTTACTTCCAATGTTGAGGCAATAATGAATGATGCTACAATCAGCATTCTTATTAAAGCTATCTTCACATTGTTTCCTTAAGGTAATTTCCCAGCAGCAGAAATGTGGGGTCAAGGGTATATGATTTTTAAAAACCCTAACATTTATTTTCTCACTCTGATCATAGAGAAGGAAACTTTGATAAGCAGTTAAAGATGGGTACTCCCACTTCCTTTTTTCTAATTCACTAGCGTATTCTGCTCTTTTCAGAAAGCAGTTTCTCAGACGAGCTCCTTGGGGCTGATGTGAACAGCGTTCTGCCCGTGAGATCAACACCAAACCTATCCATCCTGAGGGAGCATCTCTGTTGTCATCAGCCCTGGGTGGTCCAGATCTTCATGCTGCTGTGGCCGACGCTACTGGTCCTGGGTGAGTAGGATGGCCTGCACCGGCCCTGGTAGGGTGAGACAGGCTCTCTCTCCACCAGAGGCTGAGTCTCTGCTCAAAGAGTCTTTTCCATGTGAGGAGATGGTATTTGGGGGCTTTACTATACAGTTCAGAGCTTTTTTTCTTGGGGCTGATGAAAGTTGTCACAGTGGATTAAAAATAAACCTTCAGCTTTACAGAAAAGGAAACCATGGTGACCACAACAATTAAGGTTTCACTCATTTTTTTCTTCAGAAAATGCTTCATGAAATCCAGAAAATGTGTCATGTTTCCTTGTTCAAATTGTGTCACCCAGAGAAGAACCTACTCTCCTCTCTGCAAAGGAGATGCATTTATTCTTTCTCTGACAAAGTCAGACACTAATCCTGGGCAGAAGAGGGCAAGGTTCCTCACACAAAAGATACCTTCTTCAGCACAGGAATGCAAGCCAGAGCAGTGATTGGTAGAGTGAGGCATTCTCGTTGTGCCTTTAGGTACACACGAGAATCTGTCGACTCATACACACAAACTGATTGGTCTTTACCAAGGTTTAAATAGTAGACTTAAATATGTTCATTCATCTGTTCAGCAAATAGATATTTTTTAGTAACATCTGTGCACAAGACTGTATTGGGTGCTGAAAATGATGGAAATCAATGGAAGGCAGTACTTTTGAGCTCAGTTATATTGGGATAGAGAAGGGTTCTTGGCAAGGTCGATGGACAAGAACCAGCTAGGTGACAAGATCCTGATTAAATATTGGGTTGTCAGGAAAGTTATGAAGTGTTTTTGCATAGAAATACACATCATGACTTTCCTGACAACCTAATAATTGTCCAGGAAAAGTTACCAATGAGTGATGCACACAGATAATAAACTATTTGCCAAATATCTGATAGAAACTTCACGAGGCTTAGTGAGTAGGAGCTAGAGGAGGCAGGGTCAGAGTGAGGCATTATGT